TCCCTCATCCCTGGTGGCCCTGACCCCCCCCAATCCCCTGTCCTTGTTGTTCCAGCGGGGACGTGACGTGGCAGTGCGTGAGGGAGCACCTGATGAGCTTCACCTACTCCTCGTGGCTGTACGTGCAGGACGCCACGCTGGCCCTCAAGGACTGGGCCCTGGCCATGATTTCTGGGCACTGAAATCACACACCGTGCTCTGGCTGCCCGGGGTGCAGCAGGGCAGGGGCAGTGCCCGCAGGAACTTTGGGGAGGTTTGTGTTTCTGGGGGCCAGACAAACACACACCCAGGTTTCTCCACACCCTGTGACCGCTCTGGCTTTCCCTGTCCCACTGTCCCTGGGGGGAGATCCCCATCCCCTTGTGTTCTGCCTGCTCACAGGGTCAGGGGTGGACACCTGGAGCCCCTCACCTTCCCACCCCTTCCCGCCAATGAATGAACTGATTTATTTTATTATTTTTTCCTTATAATTGCTCTGTATGCTTTATATTTCTTCCTAATTGAAGATGGCCGTGTGTGATGGGGAGGGACTGTCCAGACCCCTCTGCACCCCCAATCCCACCCACCCCGGGGGGGGCAGTGCCGTGGCTGGGGTGGTTTATGGGGGTCCAAGGAGCTGCTGGTGCCACCCCACGGGTGGGGGCTGGGGTTGGGCTGTTTGTGTGGGGTGGGGAGGTGGCAGGGTCGACCCCTGCCTCTCTTCTTCACGTTTGTGTGTCACATCTGTGGGGATGTGTCACCCGTGGTGTGTCACTTCTGTGTGGGTGTGTCACCTCTGTGGGGGTGTGTCACATCTGTGGGGATGTGTCACCTCTGTGGGGGTGTGTCACCCGTGGTGTGTCACCCGTGGGGGTGTGTCACCTCTGTTGGGGTGTGCACGGGGGTCGGGAGTGCCTGTGTTCTTTCAGGTGTGTGTGCAGGGGCACCTGTGTGTGCCTCTGTGCTCACCCACGTGTGGGCACGTTCGGGTGTCCGTGCCTGCGTGCACATCTGTGCTCTGTGTGTGTGTCTGTGCACAGCCATGTCTGGTCACATCCCTG